CTTCAAGACAGGGCATGTCTTAGTCATATTTGTTTCTACCACCTAACAGGGTATTTGGCCCCCAAAAAGATGCTTTGTAAGTACTGGTGGAAGGAAGGAAGGGAAAGAGGAAGGTGGGGAGGAAGGGAGGGAGGAAGGGAGAGAGGGAAGCCTTAGGTGAAGTTGTCAGGCAAATGCAAGCTCTCCTTCCCCATCTCAGCTCAACCTTCCTTGGTGGCACTTGAGATGTTGCCTGATTCTTCCTTCATCCTTCAGGCCCCACCTCACTGGTACCTCCTGGCCCTGAGCCGCCCCTCATGCAAGCCTCCGAGCTGACCATCCAGTGCTCCAGCGGCAGGTTGGATACTCCCTTACAGCATGTAAGCAACTGGATTGGGAGTCTCCCTGCCTTTCTCTCTCCAGCAGTGGATGAAGCTACCTGCGGGTGAGGCTCAGGGGCTGTTCCTCAGGCTGGCTGAGAGGGTCTCCAAATCCCTCAGGCCAGAAGGTGGCACACCAGGGTAGCTGAGTCCAAGGTGTGGGTGTGACAGCTCCCTCCCAGGATGAGGAGGGAGTTGTGTGATGGTGGCGGCAGAAGACTGCCTTTGAGGCGGGCTGGCAGCAGCAGGGTGAAGGAAGGTCTGTGTCACTTGGATAGGCTTGTGTTAAGTAAAGGAAATGAAGTAGTTCCTGGCATTGGAAATTAGAACCCAGCCTGGGAGCAGGATGGAAAACACAGCTCCACTGGCTGCTAAGGGGCATCATGGAAGATGGGATTGGACCTCAGTGAGCTCCTAGCCAGTGGCTCTTACAGGGAATCCCTGGGTTGCTACGTGTCCTCAAAGATAATGTCAATCTCTTCATTTCTCCAAAGCTCCCCAAGTTGGCCACCCCACAGAAGCCTTGTGAAGGTTTCTGCCATGTCCTCCACCTGTAGGGAGGTGGTGGGGAGCAGGGATAGTCATGATGGATGGTCAGAGGACCCTGGACTGAACGATTCACCAAAAAATGGAGCACCTTCTGGAAGGTTGTAGAAAACCTGAGACAGTCACTAGGCTTTGCAAAATCCAAGGGATTATGATGGTTCAGGTGACATTTGCCTTGATCTTCAGGGTCCGTGTGACCCTCTGGTTTCAGTGAACAAGTCAGAGTGTGTTTTGGTTGCAATAGGCGTGTGAGAAGTGTGAGCTTTCATTGTAGTGTTGATGGCTCTGTTTGCAATGATACTGAAGGTGTGCAGGTTTATGTTCTTCTTTTGGATTTATGTATGGATGTGATTGCATGTTGTATCTTTGTTGGAGATGCCACTAAATCTCATGTGATCCTAGTTTTTTTTTTTAATTTGAGTATAGTTGACATTCAATGTTACATTAATGTCAGGTGTGTAACATAGTGATTTGACAAGTTTGTATGTGGTGCTCTGCTCACTGCAAGTGTAACTACCATGTCATGAGATCATACTTTTCTTCCTCATTGAATCTTCACTTAGGGGAACAACGTAGGCCCCGCCCACCCCATGAGGAGCAGCCACCTTCCCAGGATCAATCCAGCTGTCTCTCTCTGAGAGCCAAGCAATGTGCGCTCCCTGCCCCCATCTTCCCTTCTCCGGCCCCTGCTTCATTTCCCTGACTTCTTTCTCCAGCCCGAAGCACAGCTGAGGTCCTTAACCAAGAATGGGAAAACAAAAATCAGGTCACCAGATGTGTTCCATTCCACCCTCTCCCTCCCCATCTCTTCTCACTCTAGGGCCATAAATTCTGACTATATATACAGCAAGCACCTGGCATCTCCCAAACCAATTGTGCCCTGCCTGGTGACAGACCCAACTGAGGCAGAGCCCGGGGGTGATGCCACAAGCCTACCACATGGCCCACCCATGTCTCTAGCACCATGGTGCAGCTCCTCTGCTTTGTCTAGACAGGCTAGGACGACCCCAGAATGACTTTTCCTGTCTGACAGAAGGGCGATACGTTCATGCCATCTGTGGCGCCAGATCACCTTCTCCCTATGTAGACATGGCCCATCTGGGTGCAGACCGAGACTGAGGTCTCCCGGGCAAGATCCCTGTCTGGTTACTGGAGAAACGGGCTGCACAGGAGAGCTTGTGCACACGGCTCGCTGTAGCTGCTCCCCACCTGGAGGCCTGGGTCTCTGGAATGAAGCAGGCATCTGGGATTCTCATCGAAGACTGTTTACTTGTCTATCTGCATGGCAGTTAGCAGCCCACAGCAGCGCACTTCCTGCCAGGGACTTTCAGGAACAATGTCTCCAAGCCAGCGTGGCCCAGCCTGAGCATGAGTCCTCCTCATCCCTCCCTCCCTCCCTCCTCGCATCAGCCACGTGGACATGACTCACGCAGGCTCTCTGAGCCTCTGCCAAGAGCAGCCGGAGGACTGCCCTGGATAAAGTTGGACGGGTGGCTGCAAGAGCAGGGAACAGTGCCTTCGGACTCCCGTGGGCCTCCATATCCTCCTCCCAGCACGGTTCCTCAAGTAGCCCACCACCCAAACCTGGGGTGGGGAATGCTCTGCGGGCATATCCCCCTCCTCACCTGGTTCCCTCTTCCTCCGACAGCATCCAAGCCAGTCAGGGACCACCGTGGGAGGGCTCCTGGCTTTCCAGTGGCTTATTACGTAAATAACACACACCTAAAGGAATCCACTCGTGTACAGTTCTCTCTCCCATCTCAAAGAAGAAGCAGCTGAGGCTAAGGAGATGAAGTGAAGGCAGAGCACAGAGGATGTTTAGGGCAGTGAAATGATTCCGTATGATACTAGAATGGTGGATACAGGTTATCAAATATTTGACAAAACCCGTGGAATATACAACGCCAGCGATGAGTCTGAGGTAAACTATGGACTTTGGGTGGCAGTGACCTGTCAGCATAGATTCACAGTGGAGAGCAAACGTACCGCACCGGTGCAGGGTAGTGTGGGGAGGCTGTGCATATAGAGGGGCAGGAGCGACGGGGGAGCTCTGTACTTTCTGTTCAATTTGGCCGTGAACCTAAAACTGTTCTTTGAACAGCTTATTTTGGGGTGCCTGGGTGGCTCAGCCGGGAAAGCGCCTGACTTTGGCTTTCAGCTCAGGTCCTGATCTCAGCATCATGGGATTTTTCTCTCTCTCCCTCGCTCTCTGCCCCACCCCCACTAGCACACAAGCCCTCTCTTGCTTAAAATAAATAAACATTTTAAAAGTCTATTTTATAAATAACTGATAATAATAATAATAAAAAGATCAAGCAACTTGTTACGATCACACAGAAAGGGGTAGACCTGGGATCCAAACAGGGGCGGGCTGCTCACACGTTCCATGTCCTCTCCCACCAGGATGCTTCCTTCGGATCGGACAGGAGGGGGTAATGAGTCAGGCTGCCCTGGAAGTTGTCTAAGGCTTGTCTCCTGGGTCCCAAGTTTCCTGTGTTGTAGACACACTGCCTGAGCCTCCGAAGGAGGTATTTGGAGACTTACCAGTTAACTCTCTTTGCCAACTGTCACTCCTCACTCTGGCCTGTCATCTGTGCATCACACCCGCCATGAGCCCTAGACTATAAGAGCCTTGAGCCATGGGGCACCTGGGTGGCTCAGTCAGTGAAGCATCAGACTTCGGCTCAGGTCATGATCTCGGGAGTCGAGTTGGAGCCGCGCGTCGGGCTCTGTGCTAACAGCTCGGAGCCTGGAGCCTGCTTCAGATTCTGTGTCTCTTTCTCTCTCTCTCCCCCTTCCCTGCGCATGCTCTGTCTCTCAAAAATAAATAAACACTTAAAAAAAACTAAAAAAAAAAAAAAAGAGCCTTGAACTTGACTTTGTCTCTGTGCTCTCAGCTTGGAGCACAGGGTATGACACATGGTAGTTGCTAAAGCAGTGCCTGCTGAGAAAATGCATTAATGACTGAATGCATGAATGAAGCGGAAGAAGAGGGAGGGAAGATAAAAGGCAGGAAAGAGATGGAAGGAGTGGGGTGCAGGCTGGTGACGGGAGGAGAAAAGGCTTGGCTTCCCTGGTGTGATGCCATCCCCTCTCTCTTCCTGGGGGCTAGAGAGCGCTCTGCGGAGTTTCCTCCCCACAGGAGAAGGGCTGTGGTCCGAGCCCTGATCATCCCCACACTGCCCCCCCCTCCAGGTATTCCTCATAAAGTCTTTAACCCTTAGAAGAAGGGCTGCCCCCCTCCCCTCTCCACAGAATGAACAAGTTACTTGGGTAAAAGGGGAACAGAGGAAAACTGAAGTGGAAAAACCTTTGATTTGGAAATTCAGCTGACTGCCCTCATTTGGAATAAAAGCTCCTTCAGGCTCTGGCTGGGTGACAGGCAGGCAGCGCCAGCGGTAACACTGGATGCAGGGGTGCTGGGAGGAGGCCCGGGGAATTTTCACAGGGGCCTCTAGGGTGGTATGAACTCGGAGTCCAGGAAGACAGAGAGGGGGCTCATGTCTGGAGGCTGCGTCTCGACCCCCTGCCTCATCGAGGCCGTGATCAGTCACCCCGACGGGTCCGGCGGGATCGGAGCAGAGGCAGATCCTGAGGGAGGCCAGGGACTGGGTCTGCCTTGTGTCCTCAGCGCCTACCTCAGCTCCTGACGTATGGAAGTTGCCCAAAACACATCAGCTGGGGGGGGGGGGGGGGACGAGTAGCCAGGAGACCCAGCCCACTCCCTCATGCTGCTCCCAGCCTAATGGTGGAGAAAGACCAGATATAAAGAAAACAGACATGTGATCCAAAAGTTGAAAACCAAGTGAAATTCAAATACAAACCAAGGGCGTGTTTTCAGAGTATTTTCAGAGCAGCACCGTGGACTGGCTGGCTGGGAGCCAGCAGGGTTAACTGAGAGAGCGTCCTCAGGGTCAATCTTAAGTGGCCTTCGAAGGAGCAGATGGAAATTTTTTGGCTCAAAGGAGTAGGAGAGGTATCAAAGTGGGAGGGGCTATGGAGAGGAAAACTGGGAGCAGGGGCAGCAGGGAGATCAGGAGGCTGAAGGGGGAGGGGAGGTGGGGAGGCATCCGACAGGTGTCTGCAGGGCTGCCTGTGAGCGGGGATGGAGTTGACACTGGCTCACTGGTAACCTGGGTGGCAGGGGACACGGAGAAGGTAATTTACAAACCTTAACATAATCTTCCCAATTCTTTGTTTCCAGCCTTGGTTGGTGCTTAGAGGACAGATGGATTCGGAAGCCTGGATGTGTGGAAGCTCAGGGACCAAACCGATTTCTACACGAAGGGCACAAAGAAGGAAGAGGGAAAACTTGGAAACACGCAAGAGGAGGTTGGAGGGGTGAGGCCAGGCTGCGCTTGGTCTTTTTGTGTCTCTGTTTTGTTTTGCAAGAGAGAGGGAGTTTGCGGCAGCCATGGAAAGGAGGCAGAGGAAAGTTTAAAGAGACTCGTAAAAAAGGTTGGCTGGGTGACGCGTGTTGCGAGCCACTACACATGTGTGCATGCGCTTCAGTAAAGCCCCAAACTGACGTTCAGGCTTCTGGAGTTGGGCCCGTGGCTCCTTCACGTGGGAGCCTGCTGAACTAGGCTTTGGAGGAGAAAAGGAAGAAAAAAGGCTCAATTCTATTCTGGTTACACCCTTCTGGTAGGCAGTGGTTCCACTCAATATCCATTCTCTTCTTCCTTATTAATGAAACCACAATTTGTCGTCCTGACACAGGAGGACATTTCCAGCCTCTCTTGCAGCTAGGAGCAGCCCTGTGACACAGCTCCCGACCCACGAGGCGGCCGTAGAAGCTGCTGGAGGGTTGGCGGGAAAGCTTGGATTTCCTCATACAGATCTACCCACCTTGTGAAGGTCATTTTCTTTTTTCTTCTTCCTGCCTGGAGCATGTGATTTGAAGGCAATTGTGGGGCTGGAAATCACGTGTGAAGGGCGACGGGGAAGAAGGGCAGTTGGGGTGAGGGAGCCTGAGCTTTGTGAAATCAAAAAGCAGGCACAGTAACGTGGGTCCGTTAGCAGCCACGGAGCACAATCCTACCTGATGCGGTCGCTTCTCCTCGGCAATGCCTGCTTAGCAAGTGTGGAGTAGTCCCCAGGACACAGCAGCAAAACAATCGAGTCAGAGGGTTGGGGCGTTCATTATTCCAGCTCTGGCCCCTATGCTGGGGCAGGACCTCCACCCAACAGACTCCGCCCAGAGGCGGCCCTGCCCCTAAGCAGAGTGGTGGCTGGACAGGGACTCAGAGGGGTCCTGGGTCTGAACCCAACGCAGAAGGAAGGGTGCAAAGCCCGATGCTACTCCCCTAGTCCCTTCACACGTGGGGACTCCTGTGCCCATGCCCACACCCCTAGGCTGTAACCTACTCATTTTCATCTTCTCCAGGGTTGAAGGGCAGAGAAAGGAGAGGAGCAGAGGCCAGACTCCCTGGTTGCTCGCTGGTGGCTCCCAACCGGCTTCTCGTGCCCTGCTGAAGTGAAGGCTGTGCCCCCACGAGACCCGGACACTTACTTCTCCATGGGTTCTTGCCATACCCCCAGCCATGATACCACATGCGCTGTTCCGGTGCAACCTCAGAGATGCATCAGCCTTGGCTAGATCTACTCCCGTCCTGCTCGGTCACTGGCCACAGATCTTAGCTGGACAAGTCATGCTCACTCCAGACTTCAGTGTTCCCTCATCTGGAAGTAAAAGGGTCCCCAGGGCCCAAATGAGTAGCCTTCACTCGTCCATGGCAGTATAGTAACAATGGCTGTCATTTACTGGCTGTTTCCTGTGCGCTAAGTGCTTTTCACATACAAACCCAGTTAACCACCATGACTACTTGGGAAAAGTATGTACCACTATCGTTACCTTCACTTAATAGATAATAGGGCCGAGGCTCATTGAAGTTAAGTGAGTTATCTGACGTTCTTCTGATCATAAGTTGTAGAACCTGGGTTTGAACTCAGGTATTGTGGTCCAGGGTCCACGTACCAAATCACGACACTACAGTTGGCCGTGTGAGAGGGAAAAGCTAAGGAGAAGGAGGATAAATACGTGTGCATTTTGATACACATGCATGCACACACATGTTTTAATATATTTATGTGATGTTGGTGTAACTCTGACGCTGACTTTCTGGGAAAGGACCAGGGTGTATTCTTTATGTTAGGGGTGAGAGAGTACATCTTTCATATTTCGTATGTTCAAGTGTCCTTTCCCAAAATGACAAAAGACGAGTATTTTGTTTGCTCAACTGGCAAAAGGAAAAGTGACGACCTGCTATTTTTTATGTTGTTTTCCTGCCAGTCGTGACAGACCATGAAATTAAAAGTCTGGGAGTTCCCAGGCTATAGGAACTCAAAGTCCTTTTTGGGTTAAACAGTCTAAGGTCTTCAATCTCCAGATGTGGTGACATAGGCCATATGTTCCCCCTGGGTATTGGGCCATGCCACCCTGACGCCCTGGTCAGCCCAGCCAGGAGGCCAGTCACCCAGAGGGGCTGCTTGAAGCTCTGCAAAATACTTTGATCCCTAAAGAAAGTTTCCTTTCCTGTCCCAGCTTCAACTTTAGCGCCAGCTCCTCTGTGTTTGTCCACCTCTTGGGACAGACTCCGCAGAAAGCATCTTAAATTCCTCTTTAAGTGGGGGGAAATATTTTATTTGAGGCCAGGCCCCAAACATGACCTCCCTCCAACTGGATCCTGAACACCACATACCACAGAAGACCTTGCTCCAACCGGAGTACTAACGGAGAAGAAAAAAGGCAAAATTATAGATTATCTTGAGACGGTCTGTTCAAACTAATTGTTCTCCGCTTACGTGGATCCCGTCAAAGCCTGGCTCCGATCGGGAACAGAACAGTTTGGGGGGGGGGGGGCAGTCTACTGGTGCTTTCTTTCTTTTTTTTGTTTTATTATTTTTTAAATGTTTATTTTTATTTTTATTTTCATTTTTTTGAGAGGCAGAGAGACACATAGTACAAGCCAGGGAGAGGCACAAAAGCTGAAGCAGACTCGAGGTCTGAGCTGTCAGCACAGAGCCCAATGCGGGGCTTGAACCCATGAACGGTGAGATCATGATCTGATCCAAAGTCAGACGCTTAACCATCTGAGCCACCCAGGCACCCCTATTGGTGCTTTCTTGAAAACAAAGCTGGCAAACTCTTATTTTGAAGCTACAATAGAGCAGGCAATTCAGGAAAAAGGGAATTTGTGCAACCCTATGTTGTCCTTTTTTTCGGAATTTTTTCTATGTTTATTTATTTGGGGAGAGGGGCAGAGGGAGAGGGAGACACAGAATCTGAAGCAGGCTTTGGCTCTGAGCTGTCAGCACAGAGCCCGATGCGAGCTCAAACTCATGAGCTGTGAGATCATGACCTGAGCCGAAGTTGGATGCTTAACTAACTGAGCCACTCGGGTGCCCCATGTCATTCTTTTTCTTACCAAAAGTCTCATGGTCCCTTACGAAGAAGGGAAGACATTTGCTAAGGTCCACACAGCAGCCAGGAACGTGCTTTGGAAGAACAACGGAAGCCACAGGGCTGCATCTGCTGTGGGGTCTACATGCCTATAGCCCAGCAAAGAATGAGACATAGTGGGTGGGCTCTGCCACAAACAAACTAAAACAAAACAGATTTAGGGTATTTATGGAAAGTGGTGGGGGCGGGGGGACCTTTATCTTTTTTTCTGTCATACACACACACACACACACACACACACACACACACACAGAAACAAAAGACTGATGAAGGCTACCAGTCTGGCAGAAATCTAGAAAATAGAGGAATAGGACATCAGGATTCCAGTTTTCACACCAGATGTGATCTGGCATTGGGGGTGATGAGTTTGAGAAACAGTTGTTGACTGTGTCATGTGGTGACTCCAACGATAGTGTTCTTTCGTCATCAGAAAGGGCTTTGACAACTTCACCACTCACAGTGAGATTAAAAACAGAGAAAGAGGGACTTGATCACGAGATGCATCTGACTCGTGTGCTTTGAAAGACCCAGGCGTAGGGCCCGAACTGGTCATGGAATCTAGCTGTTAAAGCTGGTTCTTTCTGGCCATGGGATTTGAAGAAATGTTGAAGTTGGCAAAATGATTTCTCCATTTAGAAAAATGTTTGCAGCTATGGTGGTCCATTAGAATACCAAGAAAAGAACAAAAGGAAAAAAATTACTGGCAAGAGCTCTCATTGAAGCCACAGTCCCACAGAGCCAAAGTAGAAGCAATCGACTTGCAAATTAAAATTGGCAATTTATATTTTCTGAGCTTTTTGTGGGATGGAGGGCTGGGGAGGGGCCGTCTGCTTTCTATGGGTGGGTCCAAAGAAATGATTTCTGGACTGGCTGGAGGCCCACAGTTTAAACAATCAATTCCTCCCCCACTATGCTTAGCCTCTGCCGCTATGGGCTTTTCTCCTTCAGCCTACAAACAGGCGACAGAAAGTGCTGCTGTCTACTCTACTGGCTAGGATGGTCCCATCCTAGACACAACATTCCATTGACCTTGGTCCCCTTCCAGCTCTGACTCTAGCACTTATCTTTTCTTCCCAGCCATGTTGCTTGAGAGACAAGTCCACACGCCGTTCTATTAGGAGTGCCACCAGGTGCCTGGGTGGCTCAGTTGGTTAAAGCCCCCAACTCCAGCTCAGGTCATGATCTCATGATTTGCGAGTTCAAGCCCCGTGTAGGGCTCTGTGCTGACGGCTTGGGGTCTGGAACCTACTTTGGATTCTGTGTCTCCTTCTCTCTGTCCCTTCCCCGCTTGTGCTCTGTCTGTATCTCAATGATAAATAAACACTTAAAACATTTTTTTAAAAAAAGGAGTGCCACGTAAAATACAGGACATCAAATTAAATTTGAATTGCAAGCAAAACAATGAATAAATGGGATCCCCATACTTAAAAATTATTTATCTGAAAGGGGTGCCTGGGTGGCTTAGTCGGTTAAGCGTCCGATTTTTGCTTAGGTCATGATATCACAGTTCGTGGGTTTGAGCCCCGTGTTGGGCTCTGTGCTGACTGCCAGCTCAGAGCCTGGAGCCTATTTCAGAGTCTGCGTCTCCCTCTCTCTCTGACCCTCCCCTGCTCACGCTGTCTCTCTCCTAGAAATAAATAAAAGTAAAAAAATAAATTATTTATCTGAAATTCAAATTTCTAATGAATTCAGATTTAACAAGGCCTCCTGTATTTTTATTTGCTAGACTTGGCGATCCCACTGACTTCATATCCCCGTGCTTACTTCCCATTTGCAGCCCAGTTCATGGAAACCTGGTTTCTGCTTCCTCCTCTCCACTGACACTGCTGCTCTCTCCCCAGCTTCCCCAGGGATCCCCTCATGACCAAATCCAAAGGAGATGTTTCCAGGCCTTGCAACGGGGACCTGCCAGGAGCAGTCAGCCCTCACTGCTGGTGCGTCCTTTCTTATGGCAAAGCTATCCTCTCTCTTGGCTTCTTGACTTCTACATCTTTTGCTTTCAGCCCTTCTCTGCTTTCTTCATGCGCTCCTTGTTAAGTCATCTCTTACGTGTTTGATGCTCCCCAGGGTTCTGTCCTTGGCCTTTAGCACCTTCTACGCACAGAGCTGTGTTTGCCATCATATTTCTCTCTCTGCTCAGGCTGCCCCACGCCGTCCTTGCCTGCTCATCCATCATCCCTGCCACAGGGCCTCCGAGTGCATCTCGGAGGGAAATCTTCTTGCCCTAGGGCTCCAAAGAGATGGATTCAGCTGTCAGTGAAGAGAAGGGTCCCTGAAGGGGTCAGGGCGCCGGGCCCTGCAGGATTGATCCATTATGAATTATGGATGTCACGTCCCGCTCAGTCCCCGTGCTCTAGAGCCAGAGACGGTCTCCCTGCCTTCCTTCTCCGAGTCGGCCCCTTCTCTCTGGCATCCCTTTAGCGTGCACTAATTTGACAGTAGGTGCTTTCCTGCTTTGCTTTTTAATTTTTTTTAATTTTTAAAAAATATTTATTTATTTTTGAGAGAGAGAGAGAGAGACAGAGCACAAGCAGGGGAGGGCAGAGAGAAAGACGAAGACAGAATCTGAAGCAGGCTCCAGGCTCAGAGCTGTCAACAAGAGCCTGACGTGGGGCTTGAATTCACTAGCCATGAGATCATGGCCTGAGCCTAAGTCATCTGCTCAACTGACTGAGCCACCCAGGAGCTCCCATTTTGTTGTTTTTAAATAATTATTTCTATACCCCCTCCCCACCATCTGACTGGAAACTCCCTGAGTTGAGCCCTCCTCCATCAGACCATGCCTTGCTGGAGAGCAGAGACTGACAATTCTCCATGGGGAATGGTTAGCACATGGGTATGACTGTGTGATTATCAGGAATAAAAGCTGGGAAGGGTGGGGGTGACTGGGTGGTTCAGTCGGTTAAGCATCAGATTTCAACTCAGGTCACACATGATCTTACGGTATGTGAGTTTGAGCTCTGCATCGGACTCTGTGCTGACAGCTCAGAGCCTGGAGCCTGCTTCAGATTCTGTGTTTCCCTCATTCTCTGCCCCTCCCCACTCATGCTCTGTCTGTCTACCTGTCTCTCTCAAAAATAAATAAACATTAAATGTGGGAGGGAAAATGGGCTAAATGAGTAAGGGGCATTACTCCTGAGATCATCGTTGCATTACATGCTAACTAACTTGGATATAGATTAAGAAGATAAATTATAAAAATATACATAAGAAAAGATA